GCTGAAACAAGTTTAATTTCAAAGTTTTCAAACACGTTTAATTTTGAAATTCGGACAGAATTTGATGCACTAATGCTAGTATAATAAACTCAAAATGACCTCACTTTTTCTCGGATCGTATGCATAGCTGGAGTTTAGTACATCATTGCGTCTTGATTGACTTGACTTGAATTAATATTAAACCATGTTTAACCAAAGAATTAAATTCTTAGTCAAAGCCTATTTTTAGAAGTACTTGGGTTACTGATAATCAAGAAATTCAATATTCTCTCATAAATAAGAAAGGAAATTAAAATAAGAAATGACAAAATAATCAATAGAGAGCACAAGAAAGTAATTATATTCCAATAATAACCAGAGCCTCCTCTTACAAATGAAATTCTCTTCCCTTATATAGGGGTTTACAAATATAACGCTTCATTCCTTTTATGTCTGAGTCATTATGAGCATTAATGACATTAAATGAACCGTTATAATTGGCGATCGTAATTGTTCATAAAGTTTCTTTAACGGTTCTGATTCTTCCTCCTCATTAATTGGAGGTTTGTGAATCTTCCCATTTTTATTGTCTTGATTCATTCCATCCGCGTCTCTTCATTGAACAATTTAGGCTTGAGCACTGCGTCCTTTCATCTCGTGAGTGATTTGTTCGTACCTCTTGTAACTCGTGTATCTTTTAATTATTACACTCCAGTTGTCATCTTCTTAGTGATCCACGTATCATGCCCTGTCAGCCACATATATCTCCATGTGTATTATTTATTTTCTACCAATACAGATAGTCCCCCCACTTGCCGAATATTCTGCAATTGAATATTTGGGAAGTGGCACGTATTTATAGCGAGAATGTTTTGCCGCCGTTTCCCATGTATCATTGCGTCTTCTTCAGAACCATCGCGTCGTATGTCACTTTCATTTAATGTATGTGCTACGTGGCCTTCGTCAATTGGGTCTGCGACTCTTCAGTGATTTTTAAGGCTTTCTTGCGGCTGCGTCAGTCACTTTTAGTTTCACAAAACCTTCAATCTACAGTATTCTTCTTCTTTAATCGTTCTTGTTCTTCAGCACATATTATTTTCTCGTATAACCGTGTCTTTATCAAACCCCGATCCTCGCAGAGTAGTAATTGTAGATGAACTTCCCCCTTTAGCTGCTCCTGTTAGGAGTAAAAGAGGTGGTAGATTACTTAGTTTAGAATCTGTATCTATTTGTGGTTATACTTCTCAAACTAATATTATTACTCCTTCTTCTTCTAGGACTAGGGCTTCTTCAACCCATAGATCTTCTACCAGAAATAGGGAATTAAGTGAACCCATTCGAGAACCAACGGTTGATGAAATCGTTCCTCAAGAATTTTCTTTCTCTACTGATCGTGAATCGATTAGGAACCAAGTTACTTCTATGACTTCTCATGATCGTGCCGATGTCTATCCTTCCCAGATTACTGATGGCTTGATTTCTCGTGTGCGAAGAGAATGCTATTGGAAATCTGATTTTCCAATTTTAGTTCCTGGCTCAAACCAAAGGATAACTTCGTACCAGGTTGGTTATTCTTTTGTTTACACATATCCTTTTACCTTAGGTTTCAGATCACCTATTGACCCAGCGATCATAGAATTTTGTCGTTTCTTTAACGTTTTCCTAGGACAGATTGGTCCTATTGTATGGAGAGTTGTTGCATGTCTACGATACCTCTCTAATTTGGCTTCCTTACCCTTTACCTTTCAACACTTGCTTCATCTTTATTCCCCTAAGTTGTTTCGTTCAGGGGTCTTTACTCTCGTGGCCAGAAGCAATAGGTTTTAGTCAGCCCTGAAGATGATAGAGATCGTGGCTGGTACGCCCGTTTCGTTATTGCTCCCACAAGTGGTTTGGTGGGTGAGGAGAATATGCCTTTTCCAGAAAAGTGGAAGTTTGCACGTAAATTTTTTTTTTAAGTATCTCTCTTCTTCTTTTATGAGGGAAGAAGAAACTTATGATCTCGTGGCTTTTTTCTTTTCTTTTGAGCAACCATGGAAGTTTTTGAAGAAATACCAAACTTCCGTGCTTGGGTAGGAAAATTGTTGTCGGTTTCTCCTGCGGAAGGAAGGACTTGGAAATACCTTTCTCATAGGTTTAGTTGGAAAGTCAAGACTCATGGTATTCTTCTCTTTAAGTTTTCACCTTTGTTTTGTATTTACTTGGAGGTTACTAATTTTTTTCTCTACTAGGGTTTCCCATTCGAGGTGTCAGTGTTGCATCTATTACTTCATCAAGACTCTCTTTGTCCCTTGCTCAAGAGATGATTTTAAATTCTTCATCAAAGAGAAAAGAGGAGGGAGCTCGTGGCTCAGAGGAACAAGAAGAGGGTTCTTTAGTGTGCAGGCCTCGGGTTAGGAGGCACATTATTTTGTATGATGAAACCACCCCTCCTCCAAGTTCAGTTCCCGTGAATGAGCCTGAAAGTGCTACTTTAGTGAGTTCTGATGAAGAGATGAATGTTACCCCTCGTGATTCTACCGATCAATTATTTTCCCGTGGTTTTGATAGTGAAGATTTTGGTCATGTTTCCGAAGAAGTACCCCTTGCCTCTTTTCCAGTGTCAGTTCCTATTGATTCTCAGATTTCCGCCCCTTTTGTTGCTGCTGCTCCTCCTGTGGCTGTTTTTACTTCCTCAACTGTCCCTATTGCTACCACTTCTCATGTTGAAGTTGGTACTTCCAGTAGCAATAGGATGATAAAAAGGTTACCATAGAAGTCCCCGAGGATGGTAAGCTTTTGAAAAGATCTGGTCAAGCCGACGTATGGCTAAAACCTCTACTTGGCCCAGCTGAGAAGTCGAAGTTGGAAAGCCACAGTTCCTTGACATGGATAAATGATATTGTTCATTCATCTTTGAAGGTATGAGTCTTAGCTCTTTCCTTTATTTTCCTCGTGATTTTTTTTATCTCTGTTTGATAACCACTTCTTCTTTTTCTTTTGTAGATCAACTTGATAGGCACGAAGCTTATGAAGAGAATTGTCCACACTGAACAGCTAGTCGACGATTATCGTACGGAGGCGAACAACTGGAAGGAACAATACGAGGGTCTTCAATTGGAGAAAGAAGTTTTAGATGAGGAGAAGTGTGCTTTGGAGCAACAAGTAAGAGTGATGGCGGCAGAATTAGCAATTGAAAAACTCCTTAGGGGTTTGAATGAACTCCTTAATCAGAAAGAGACCTATGCCGGGGAGCTTGTTCAAACACTCACTCTGGCTCAAAAAGACCTCTGTGCCTCTACTGATAAGGTCCAGTTCTTGGAGAGATACCTCTCCCATTTGAAGGCTTCTTATGATGCCTCTTTAACTGAAAGAGAAGAGTTGCAGGCTGAAATCGAGCAATGGGAGAAGGACTACGAGGCTCTCAAAGATAAATCAACTCTTGACGTAAGCTGGGCTTTTGTAAACAAGCACCTCGAGACTTTGATGGAGGCTAGCCAGGAAGGTTTTGACTTGAATGATGAGATTGCAAAGGCTAAGGAAACTATTGAAACATCTCAGCAAAGTCAGAACTTTTCCTCATCTGAGGTTGGAATTCTTGAAGGTGATGAACTTACTCCTGGTGAAGTTGGTGTTCAAGCCTCTTCTGCTCTAGTTGAATCTTCTTCCGCTGCTAGTGATGCCATATTGGATTCTGCCTCTTCCGCTACTAATAGTGTTGCTTTGGATTCTACTCCATAGTGTTCTTAGTTTGTTTCTTGAACTTTTGATGGGAAGTTTGTTTTGTTTGTTTTGTGGTTTTGTATAAAACAATTCGGTTGGAACTAAGTTTATACTTAGTTTTAACCAAGTTATTATAATATTACTTTCCAAGTTTTTGTTCAGCTCTTATAATATCTTATTTTGAGTTTTTGTACTACTCTCTTATTATGCATTTAAAAATGCTTCAATACTCCATGACTTTTTGAACAGGCATGAATTATAAAAGAGGGCCCTTTTATAAACGATACTTAATGAAGAAGACGTCTCTACTTCATATTGGTGTAAACATACGAAATAAAGAATAGTAACACACATGTTTCTTTGAATAATTTGAGGAAGTTTTGTATTGTTTGAACTTTCAAACTGTATAATACTTTACACATATTCAAGTATCATCTACAATTCTTTTGTAACTGTTTTTCTTATAACAGATTTTATAAAATTCAAGGGTATATCTTGCAACCCATAACTAAATATTGCCTTTAATCTACATATTCGTAAGATTTTGTAATTTACATCCACGAGTGTTCCTCATCATAGGTTTTTTGAATTAGGCTTGTATTTATCAGGCTTGTGTTTTTGCTCTTAACTTTTGATTTGTTGGGTAGATTGCCTCAGGCTTCACTCGAATTTTGACTTTTCTAGTCTTCTTTGCCTTTCATATATATAGTCCCCTAAGTGTTAGAGTTTTGAAGTATGAAATCACGAGCACTTGATTATTCCTTCCATGTGGTCCATTTCCTGAAAAGGAAAAACATGTGGGACTCGAAGGTATATATAATTTAGATGATGACTACTTAACCCTTTATATTTCCATCAGAAAGGCTGCAACCCTAGACTGGGAATAATGTTGCTTCCGCATATCTTTCAGGTCTAATATCATCATTTGGTGTGGGCTAGCTTTTTGCCTATCATCTAAAATTGTTAGTATAATTTTAACTGTACAAAACAAAAATCGTAATTGAACGATACCTGACCGTGGGTATTTCTTTTGCTCAGAAATAGTATTTCTTTAAATGAACAGCATTCCAACTCAAGGGTAAAACCTTTCCATCCATGGTTTCTAACTCGTAGGCACCTTTTCCAGCGATACCTCGAACTTTATAGGGTCTTTTCCAATTTGGATTTAACTTTTCTACTTCGGTTGATTTCATTGATTGGAAAACCTTTTTAAGAATGAAGTCCCTAATTTTGAAGTACCTGAGGTAAGCCTTTCTGTTGTAGTATCGTTCTATGATTTGCTTTTGTGCTGCCATCCGTATTAAAGCTGCTTCTCTTCTTTATTCGAGTAAGTCCAAGTTTTCTCTTAATTCCTTATCGTTCGAATCTTCCGTTGCCAATGTGAATCTCATGCTTGGTTCTCCTATTTCAACTGGGATTAAAGCTTCTGAACCGTACAGAAGCGAAAATGGAGTTTCTCCCGTGGTTGTTTTTGTTGTGGTTCTATAAGCCCATAATACTCCTGGTAATTCTTCAGGCCAATTCCCTTTTGATTTTTCTAGTCTCTTCTTCAAATTATTGATGATAATCTTATTTGTTGACTCAGCTTGTCCATTTGCTACGGGATAGTAAGGTGAAGAGGTTATTCGTTTGACTTGCCAACTTCGAGCCTATAAATTGTGGGCCATTATCATATACGATTTCTTTTGGAACTCTAAACTGGCATATAATGTTTCACCAAATGAAGCCTTTCACCTCTTTTTCTCGTACCTGTTTGAAAGTTCCTACCTCTACCCATTTTAAAAAGTAATCTGTTAACACTAATAAGAACCGTACCTTTCCTTTAGCTTGTGGTAAAGGCCCTACTATATCTATTCCCCATTTCATAAATGGCCACGGGGATATAACTGTATGTAATAACTCTGCAGGTCGATGCATATTTTTGGCATATCGTTGACACTTATCACATTTGGCTACAAAATTTTCCGCATCTTCTTCCATTTTAGGCCAGTAGTATCCTGCCTTGATTAGTGTTTTAACTAAAGATCTTCCACCTGCGTGATTTCCGCAATGTCCTTCATGTACTTCCCTCATCACGTACTCTGTTTGATTGGGTCCAAGGCACCTTGCTAAAGGACCGCCAAACATTTTTTGATATAAATTATCTCGAATTAGGCAGTAACGAGCAGCTTTTCGTCGAAGCACTTGAGATTCTTTCTTGCCTTCAGGTACGATCCCGTACTGCAAAAATTTAATAATCTCATTTCTCCAATCCCAGGTTAAATTATTAAAGCTTACCTCATATTTATCCTGGTCAAGTGCTGAATGAAATAAATGTATTATAATAGTATTTTCTTCACTTGTTACTTCTGCAACTGATGCAAGGTTAGCCAACGCGTCTGCTTCTGCGTTTTCTTCCCTGAGTATTTGCACGACCTTCCATGATTGGAATTTCCTGGCCAGTTCTCGTGCCTTTTCCAAGTATTGTTGCATTCGTGCCTCTCTAGCAGTGTAAGTCCCCTGCATCTGATTAACTACCAGTTGAGAGTCACTTTTAATCATGATTTGCTCTATGGAGAGTTCTCGTGCTAGTTCAAAAACTGTAATTACAGCTTCATACTCTGCTTCATTGTTAGTAATAGGGTAACATTTAATTGCTTGTCTTATGCTTTCACCTGAGGGTGGGATTAAGACAATACCTAAACCGGCTCCTTTGACATTTGAATAGCCATCAGTAAATAAAGTCCACGTACCTGGATTAGCTCCAGTAAAAATTTGTAATTCCTTTTCTACTTCAGGAATTATTTTTGTATTAAAATCCGTGACGAAATCTGCTAAAACTTGAGATTTTATTATAGTTCTAGGTTGATGAATAATGTCATATTCACTTAGTTCTATTGCCCACTTGGCTTGTCTGCCTGGCAATTCTTGTTTATGCAAAATATTCCTTAATGGATATGTAATTACTACGGAGATAGGATGGCATTGAAAATATGGTCTCAATTTCCTAGCTGCCATGACTAATGCTAAAACTAGTTTCTCTAGATGAGGATATCTAGTTTCAGCATCTAATAAAGATTTACTAACATAATAAATAGGAGATTGTTTACCTTTGTCCTTCCTTACTAAAACTGCAGTTACCGCTACTTCTGCAACTGCAAGATATACATATAATCTTTCTTCATCCCTTGGTTTAGACAATAGGGGAGATTTGTTAATTATGCCTTCAAATATTTGAGGGCTTGTCGGCATTCCTCAGTCCATTCAAACTGATTTTGCTTCTTCAATACTGAAAAGAATTTAATGCTTTTCTCTGAAGATCTTGAAATAAATCTTCCCAAAGCTGCAATCCTACCTATCAATCTTTGTACCTCTTTTTTGCTTGTGAGTATATCAGGTATTTCTTCAATAGCTTTAATCTTTGCAGGATTTACTTCAATTCCTCTATTAGATACGAGAAAGCCTAGAAACTTACCTGAAGCTATGCCAAAAGCGAACTTTTCTGGATTTAGTTTCATATTATATCTGCGAAGGATCTCGAAGGTAGTCGAAAGATGTTGAAAATGATCTTCCGCTTGGGTAGATTTAACCAACATATCATTAATGTACACTTCCATCGTCTTCCCCAGGTGTTCTTGGAACATCTTAGTCACCAACCTCTGATACGTAGCTCCAGCATTTTTCAAGCCAAAAGGCATGACTTTGTAACAATAAGTCCCCCTGTTTGTAATAAATGAAGTTTTTTCTTCATCTAAGGGGTCCATTTTTATTTGATTATAACCAGAATATGCATCTAGAAAGCTTAATAATTCGTGGCCTGCAGTAGCATCAATCAATTGATCTATATGCGGTAAGGGAAATGAATCTTTCGGGCATGCATTATTTAAGTCAGTGTAATCCACACAAACTCTCCATTTACCGTTCTTTTTCGGAACTACCACAGTATTAGCTAACCAATTAGGATATTTTACCTCGCATATTGAATCGATCTTTAAGAGTTTATGTACCTCTTCATCGATCACTTGATTTTTGAATGATCCTTGCTTCTTCTTCTTTTGTTTGACAGGTATGAATGATGGATCTTCATTTAATTTATGAGTCATCACCTCCGGAGGTATACCTGTCATATCTGAATGGGATCATGCAAAACAATTCGCGTTAGCTTTTAAATATTCAATTAACTTACCTCTCCTATCTGGGTTTAACCTTGCTTCGATATGAATTCTTCGATCTGGACATTGTTTGAATAGTGGAACAGCTTCAAGCTCCTCAATCGTTGTTTTAATGTTTTCGTTCTCCTCTGGCTCTTGAATTACATCTGGTCTGGAGTCCACATCTGTTTGTTTTGATACAATTTCTGTTAAAATTTGATTTACTGCATCTTTCTCACTTGAACCCGCATCTTTTTGATTTGCACTCGTATCTTTTTGACTTGGCTATATCACCGAATCAATGCTCCTTAAAGTTTATTGATCTCCTCGAATCTGTTGAATTCCCTATTTTGAAGGGAATTTGATAACCTGATGTATTTTATCTCGCCCTTTGTAATAACAGTTAAGTTATCCAACCCAGATAAGGAACGTACTTTTGGAACTACACGATCGTCCATCAGCATTTCGTTCACCACTCGTAATAGAATGATATTCACAGAGCTACCTGGGTCAATCAAAACTCATTTTACATTAGTATCATGTATAAGTAAAGATATTACTAGTGCATCGTTGTGAGAAATCACTAATCCATCAGCATCTGCATCATCAAAGGTTATGTTGTCGTCTTCCAGAGTTTGGCGAGTTCGCTTCTCGTGAGCTATTGTAAACTTTGTTGCTTTTCTCGCAGCTTTATAGGTTACGCCGTTGCCGTTTATCACATTTACTATCCTCTTTAGAGACGGAGGTTTTGGGGGATCTTGCCTATTTTTCATGTAAGCTTGTTTGCCTTTCTCGCAGAACAATTCCGTCAGATAGTCCTGCTTCTAAAAATGTTCCACCTCACCTTGTAATAATCTGCAGTCTGATGTTCTATGGCCGTGGTCATTATGGAACTCACACCAAAAGTCGGGGTTTCTTCTATTTGGATTTGATATCATCTCTTTAGGCCATCGTACCTTATCCCCCATGCTTCTTAAAACAACGACCAACTCGGGGGTACTCACATTAAAATTGTAGTCCCAATCCTTGCGTTTGTATTAGCATCTCTGTTATGTTCACCTCGATCTTTTCTGAATCTCGACGATGACGAACCTGAATCTCTATTTGCGAACCTGTGATCAGCCCGCACGTTTTCGAATTTGGAATGAGGTTCTCGCCCCAAAGGTCCCATATAAGGCTCGTACCTATTCTTACCGGACCTCTTCTCTAATTCTGACCGCCTCGAACCTGTTTTTTCCTCAACCCTTGACTAAGCTACTATATCTTCTTCGATCCGTAACTTGGTACTGTACCTATTATAGACATCATTACATGTCGTGGCGGGGAATTCTCGTAGGCTCTCTTTAAGCCTCCTCGTAGCTTCTGAACTTTTCTCATTTAAATTGCTTGCAAACACCATGGCTGCCCAATTGTCAGGTACTCTTGGTAGCAACATTCTTTCACGTTGGAATCTGTCTACGAATTCTCGATGCAATTCTGTATCTCCTTGCTTTACTTTGAATATATCCTTCATTCTCTTTTCAGCTTTTTGTGCACCCGAGTGTGCTTTTATAAATAGATCTGCAAGTTCAGCAAAAGAGTCAATAGAATTGTCAGGTAAAAGAGAGTACCATGTTAACGCTCATTTAGTAAGTGTTTCCCCGAACTTTTTGACCAGCACAGATTCAATCTCCTGCTTGGTTAAATCATTACCTTTTACTCCCGTGGTGAATGCAATAACGTGGTCACATGGATCGATCGTTCCATCGTATTTTGGGATGTCAGGCATTTTGAACTTTTTGGGAATTGGTAATGGAGTTGCACTTGGTTTTCATGGTTGTTGTGAATATTTGTTGAAATCAACTCCTTTGATCACAGGTGGTACGCTGGGTATTTGCTCAATACGGTCATTTTGTTCTTTCACCTGTTTCGGTAAGGTTAGTATTAAAGTTTGTAAATCAGAACTATTAGGCGTACCTGGTCTCCCATCACGTGACTCGTTGGGATTGGTCCGCTTCCAGAATTAGCCAACCCTGATCGTGGAATTTTCACAGTTGCAGTGTTGTTTGGTGGAGGTGTGGGTGGCACAGCTGGCAGTCCCCTCACGAAAGCCTGGAGAGCATCATTCACGTACTCAGCAATTAACTGTTTCACAGCATCCTGCTCGACAGTTTGTTCATTTCTATGTTGTTCATTATTATGAGTAGTGGATCTTTCTGGTGATACTTCTCTTGAATTGTGTGGGCTTCCTTAAGGTGATGGAACTGGGGTTCCTTCCATCTTCTGGTTGTTGTCATTGACATTCGACATGATTCAGTTGAGAGAGAGAGATTTGAAAAGTAAGAGAAGATTATCAGATTTTCGGTAACGGAACCAATTTGTTTAACCAAAGAATTAGATTCTCAGTCAAATCCTATTTTTAGAAGTACACGGGTTACTGATAATCAAGAAATTCAATATTCTCACAGTAATAAGAAAGGAAATTAGAATAAGAAATGACAAAATAATCAATAGAGAGCACAAGAAAGTAATTATATTCCAATAATAATCAGAGCCTCCTCTTACAAATGAAATTCTCTTCCCTTATATAACGGTTTACAAATATAACATTTCATTCCTTTTATGTCTGAGTCATTATGAGCATTAATGACATTAAATGAACCGTTATAATTGGCGATCGTAACTGTTCATGAAGATTCTGTAACGGTTCCGATTCTTCTTCCTCATTAATTGGAGGTTCGTGAATCTTCCCTTTTTTATTGTCTTGATTCATTCCATTCGTGTCTCTTCATTGAACAATTTTGGCTCGAGCACTGCGTCCTTTCATCTCGTGAGTGATTTGTTCGTACCTCTTGTAATTCGTGCATCTTTTAATTATTACACTCCACTTGTCATCTTCTTAGTGATCCACGTATCATGCCCTGTCAGCTACATATATCTCCACGTGTATTATTTATTTTCTACCAATACAAACCCGAAATGACCCATTAAACTATTGAGTCAAAACTAGTCAAAATCATGTAATCCAACAACTCAATATGCAAATCCAAACCCCAACATACAAAATCAATTTTTGAATATGAAAATTATATAAATTTGGAAGAACTTAAGCTAATAAGTTAAGAAAAACATATTGGTTTTAAACAATTTTTTTAAAATAAAATAAAAAAGGTGTTAAAGGTAGTTTGTGTTACAAGTTAGGGTTATGACCCGTCGTTTTACCTATTTTGATTCGCTCATTTTGACCCTATTGTAAACTTAGACCGATTTATTTATTAATTCGATTTATTTTGTCTCACTCAAGTTTGATCCAACCAGCCAATTCACCGTATCTCTATACAAACATTACAAATTTTATTTATCCCACCGGTCCTCC